ATAAACAAAAAAAAGGCCACGAATAAAGTCCACTCAAAAAAGTTTTAACAAACGGGAAAAAAATTTAGTTTCCAATAATAATCCATTTATTATTATTACTTTATAAATCAATTAAAAAATGTATTAAATAATAATTAACTTATTTTGTTGCAATTAAAAATATATTAAATAAAGTTTAAAATATCTGTATGGCGCACCTATATACTATTTTCGTATAATAATTTATTTATAAATTTATTATTAAATAATTTATTTATAATTTAATAATGGGCTACTATAGATTTTTTACTCGAGTGTCCCTTTTAGATGTTTATATGGGCAGCGTCATGTGTATAAAAAATATTATTTTTATAAAATTGTCATTGTGTAATATTTAATAAAGTCACTAAATTTCTACAAGGTTGAAAGTAGTCAGGTGTATTACATAATAGTGTAAAGGTCAAATTACTTTTTGAAAAATTAATTTATTTTTCATGATAATATGTAAAAAAAAAAATTATTTAATATTATTATCTTCGCCACAAAATTATATTGATTAAATTAAAATATATTGATAGTTAAAATACCGAGGGACATGTGCACAGAAAGAATATGAAATTAAATGTTGTTTTCGCACTTCTTTAAGATGTAGACAAATTGACTACCTATTTAGAGATTTTTAAAATTATATGGCATATGATATTGTTATTTAAATTAAAGGTAACATGTACACTAACATATAATACACGGCCTAGTGTTTTAACTAAATTAAACTGTATGTAAATACAAAATAGTGTTATTATTACTAAAATTATTTTTTTGAACTTTTTATAAATCACACCACCGCTTGCCCATTTTGTGAATATTAAAGAATAATAAATAATAATACACGATATAATCGTTGCTAGAAACTACGAATACTAAGTAATTATCTAATTTTATTGTGATATAACTAATGTAGATGTCGATTATTCTACACCCTAAAAAATACAATATTGTTTTTATATAATAATATGGGTCGTGAATTGTGATGATATAACTGGTCAAATTCTATATTTCTGTATAGATTGTGTTTATTGTGCTAAGAAAATATCTGCGATTGATACCGATACGAGACTGATAAGGTGTTTGACAAAAATAAAAGTTTCAGAAACGTATTATCAAAAGAAAATAATTTGAATAGACTCTATTTATTTATTTTTTATAGTGACCTGCTCGTTTACACAATACAGTATTATGTTTGACAAGAATGTTTGTAATACAATTACAACTCGACACAGTACACAATACTTATAAATTTCAATAGAAATAGAAAAATACCTACCCAATACTGAGAATGGATTTTTCGCCCGTGTTAAATGTACAAATGATAGTATATACTGTAGGCTTTCAGAAGTTCACAACACTTAAATTGATTTATATGTTAACCTGACCAGCAAAAAGCGTTTTAAAAAATGCTTTCGATTTTCAGTGTAATATTATAATAGGTAGGGTAGGTACAGTGTTTGGAATAAAAAAAATTTGATAAAAGCATTTTAATCAAACGAATAATTAGTAAAGATGTGACAAATTGATTTGAATAATAATATGTGGTGTAATAATATTAATTATTTTTGATAACAATGTCACTGCATAAGTCTGTCATATATCACGTGGCAATCGACCGAAAAAAATTCAATAAAAACAACCATGCTGGCTGGTATAAAAATTAATGCCTAACGACTTGTGCCCTGCCACTATAAGTCAATACGCTCGTCGAACTTATTTGTTTTTGAACAGTCGAAGATGAGTTGCATCGATAATATATATATATATGTATATAGTATAAACAAACATATACTGTATATGTATATATTTACGTGTGGTATCGCTTAAGTGTACAACATTAGTACCACAATGGCTGTATTATACTATAGTAGCGTATTTGAGAAGGATGCAATGGGTAGATCGTCCCCCTCTCGGAAGTTTGTCCTTGGATTTCGTATGTGTTTACATTCGTACATATAGCTCCAAAACGGTTCAATTCGACTAATATAAAAAATGAATATTAATATTAAAAAGTTGATAAAAGCGAGGAGAGCCCTCATCTGTACTGAGAGCTAAACCAAAACATTTGAATCGCCATCACCCTCCAGCATATAGGTTGTGCTTCAGATAGGTGCGTCACTGTATTATTCATCTGTATTTTGTAATTTGTGACTTAACGATCATAGGCACAACTATCAACTATGGCCAAACGATTGAACGATGTGTTTTTATGCATGTGCCACTATCTCGTGAGCCAAGCACCTAAGTCAATCAAAGACGTGATTTAGGTACCCACACGAAGTTCTGTTCACCTATCACTGTAATATTATCTTAATCGTTTTTTTTAAACATTAATTATTAATATAAATTTATTTACCTCAGAATAACAAAAAAAAATATTTCATAGGTAGTCAACTATTTTTTTTTTTTTTTAGTGTTTGGAGGGGCTAAATGTCAGTCAGAGGTTCTAATCCACATGCCTCTTAGTGCTTCTGAGGAAGGATACTAAACCGCACTGTATTATTCATGGTACAATATGGGACGTATGCATTATGTGAGGTTGCATTCCACCATCTCAGTCCACGGAGACATAATCATTACCTTGATATACCAGCTGATAAATGTGTAAGTGTGTGTAAGTGTGTGTGCGTATTTGCATTTAGGCAACTCATCGTTACTTCTTAAGTACAACTAACGATCCAAAAGTTCGATTCCTAATTAAGCACATACACTACGAGCAATGAATCCGACACAGTAATTTCATTCGCTCGCAAGCTGACTTTGTACATTTCACTGGTGAAGTAAAATAATTATTTACGCCATTGATTATGTCAAATTATTCTCTCAACGTTAGAATTTCGAATTATATATCAATCCCAAATATATCTCCTCACAGAAGCTCACAGGCAGCTTAACCTCTTCAGACTTTAATTCGACATTGTTCTTTTTCGAATTACAGACGAAATAAGACGTTTAGACGTAGGTAATTATAAATCTTTGACGTCTCTCATAAAAGCTGTGTTTTCAGTGACTATTTAGTATAGGTAACTCGTAAATGTTTTTAATATATATTATTAGGTTTGATCAATATATTTATAAAGCAGTAAACAGAATTGAATAAAAAAACCTTAACTTACATAATGTGTTTACGATATCGGCGTATTATACATTTTTTTTCAGTTTACACTGTGTATATTTGACGAAATTATATTATAACGTACTGCGTTTTAAACTGAAATGTCGATTATTACTTTTATATTTGTAAGAGTTTCAGCTATCTGAAACCCCTTCATACAACTTTTTACAACGGCAAAAAGGTTTTTTTTTAATGTGTTCAAACTTGGGGACATACTTAATATCAGAAGTGTCTGTAATACGAATAGAATACCATTTTAAATTGCCTATAGTTCGTAAATGTATTTTATATAAATCTATTTCCATAAAATAATAGCATTTAATAATTTTCTATGCATTTCTATTGTAGTATGGACGTATTACGCATATAGTTAGTTTTTGGAAAATAATTATTCCACTGTACCCTATGTCCTATAGAACAACTGGCTGTGGAATGACTTCGTTTGTAAAATTCGATTTTAAAGTAACAATCAATGTACTAGATTTTTTTTCCCCACCGCATGCATATGACCATAAGGCATAAATACATCAAATCACAGCTAAACATAAGTCGAGCCGTCGAGGTGTCAATGTATTAGTAGTAATTTCAGCGGAACACATTGGGTGTAATAACATAGTTGTGTACTACACCTGTTATTAAAAACATAAATCAATATTTTTTCTGACACGATATCATTATTTTTAGTTTTAAACAAAAAATAGGCGTATGTAACATGTGTAAATATTATGTAGATTTGATATTAAAAGCCATGCAATGTAAACAATTACACAATTCTGTATATTACAAAGCGCTGTTATTATTGTTTGAGAAAATAATATTATCTTTGTAAACTGTTATTATTACTAATATTGTTTTTTTTTGGTTAATTTACCTATAGCATGGAAATTGTAACCTATTTTTTTAAACTGAAAACCTATCAACTAAATGTTGAAATATGTTAATGTGTAGAATGTCAAAAAAAATTTAAATACAATTCTTAAGCATTGTTAACAGTTTTAATTCAAGTGTCACAGAACACTTGTGCACCCAAATACTCGTGCCCTATATGAATCAAATTAAATTATTATTATTGTTTGTATTGTTTTGAAAGCTTTTAAAACCATTCAATCAAAATTAAAATGTCATAATAATGATGAAGAAGTTTTCAATCTTTTTTAATTGGGTTATTTCCAATACCTATCAATATATAATTTCTTGTTCATATGTATTATAATTTCCAACAAACTGTTTTTCTCTAGTTTTAACTATATTTCTGTTCATTTTTTTTTTATTATACAAAATAATTTACTCCAGCAAAGTCTAAAAATATTTTTAAATAGAATGACTGACATGTTCATGATTTCTAAAAAAAAGTTTATTTTTTGGCTTTATGAGTTTTGTTTTATTATTTACTGAAGTTACCTCCCTAAAAACAAACACTTGTAAATAGTTTACACTTCAGATATTGTTTAGAAAAAAAACATGACGTATTTATTGCCTAACCTAACACTATACATTTGACGTTGAAGGAGGTTAATGTAACTTATAAATGTTTTTAAATATAGAACAATAGAATGGACATACAAATATTGGTCATTGAATAATGACAATATACGCAATTTGCTTATTGAATATTAGTCGTAGAAATGTATTTGTTCGTTTGTGATATATATAATACGCTGGATATCCATCTTAATATTAACATTTTTTAATTTGCTTTTGCTATCGTCCACTGTCAAGTTGTGATCGGTGGTAATACTAATGATGAAAATATTATTCAACAGATCAATTTGTAATTGATTTTTACCAATTATTTCAGGAGTTAATGTAAATTTGTGCGTAGTGTAAGCTCTACTATTAAAAACACATTTGTACTAGCCATACTACGAAGAATTCATTCGCAGTTGTCCGCGGTGACTCGGTTGACACTCGGTCGACACTGACCGATTGAATCGCTTATCATCTTGAAAATTCTTCCATTTCTGAAAATAAAAAACAATTTTAATATTATAACGTTTTTATAATATACGATGATAGTATATTTAACGTTTGAAGGAGTTTTAAATTTGTTTTTTGCATTGGATTAATATTTTGATTCTATTAAATTGGTCGAAAATTGTATGTATCATTGTATTCACTATTCAATGATACTATCATCGAGTTGATTTTAACTACACATATTATTCTGGAATAGAAAATATTTTAAAAACTAAATTTCAAGATCATAGATATAGCGAACATTATATTATTTATATTATTATTATACTCTTAAGCTTTGTCAAAATGTAAAAATGTACATAATATTCCGATGGATTTATTCTTAAAGATCGATGTAAATATTGTGGTTTGGATGTAATAAAGTAAAACTAAATGACATTGTAAATAAATCATACTGTTATTACTATTATACATTGCCAACGTTAAGGGTCATTTAATGTTTATTAAGTGAACACTTTATTTTATTTTTCATTATCATTTTATCGAGTGTACGAGTCCACAGCCATTTATCAATGTACATCATTGTGCGTTCACTAAATGGCCCGGAAGTGCTTTTACATACATGTTTAAAATAATATTACCCCCACGCCAGTTCCATTAAACTACCGACTAAAGTTTGCTAAATTTCAAACTTTCATTCAAAGGATTTCTCGATTAGGTACCTGTATATTTATAGGTTCGCCTTGAATTAATTTGCAATTCATTTATAAACAATACATTACGCGCACGCACACACACACATACATACAAACATATATAAACATAATATATGTTTGTTAATATAATTATACTATAATACTCTATATTATTATAAAGCGTTATTGGAACGTTGTTTTATACTGTCGTACCAAATGCAGCCTCATGAGAACCGCACGTGTGTGCGAAGATATTATAATTTTATTCTCCAAAACGTGTAACCAAACCATGTTATTGGCAATTTTCCAGGAAACAGACTTATGATGTAGGAGTGGTTTACATCCGGAACCACATGGAGGGCGTATTGTATTTTATACAGTTATAGTTTTTGTGTACATATACCTATATGTACCTATCTATATGTGTTATAAAGGTTTAGTGTTTTACATTTTGGTAATTGCAGAAGTCCACATAAATAATAATAATAATAATAATAATAATTATTATTATTATTATAATAAGATACGTTCAAGTTTTATTTAATCAATGCAATTACTTAAACGTCTTATTATAATCTTACGAATATAAGATCGTCTACCGAAAAATACATATAAGGTACCTAATGAGTAGTAAATATTGTTGGAACTGATGCGAATATATATCATACCCAAACAGTTTTTGAATTGATCAAATCAAAGTTCAATTAATCGACAATTTTTTATATAGAATGAGTACATCACATAAAACGTGTATTGGAAGTTAAAAAAATAGTTTTTACAGCCAGTTTTGGAATCTGAACAGCTAGAAAGTGCAATTGCCTTTATAATGCTAATAATTTGTATTTTTTTCTTTTGAAATACATGTTTTTGAATAGTGTAAAAGATCAAACAGTTTCCTACAATATTACCATGAGTTGGAAAATTCACATTTTTTATTAAGAGAGAGTACATTATTTCTATTTCTTAGTTTTAGATTCAAAAACGTGCAGTATTTCCAAATATTATTTATTATTTTTGGTTGAGCTTTACACATTGTTTATTTCTTTACCTTTAATAGTTGAGTATAGATATAGTATATTATAGTAGGTAGCTTAAATAAAGTTTTAACAGAACAGCAATTATATTTTGCATAACTATGATTTTAGTATCATAATATATAACACTTAATGTTATCTTTCAGATAACGAATTGATTTATAGTGTTGACATTCATTAAAATATAAATGATAAGAAATGTGAAATAGAATCACAAAATTAACTTACATTAAAAATAAATCTTGCTTGTAAGACGACAAGAAATCTGATAATTCAGACCAAATGTAAAAGGTATTAGAACACGTATAATAAGAGTTTCGTTCGATTTATTAAATTGAAAATACAGTTAAAATTTTTTTGTAAGCTAATGAATTATTAATAAAGTATGTCAATGTGTTAAATTTGTATAAGTTAGTAATTTCTTGATTTTTATAACCTCCATCTATATTATAATATAGATTATTTATTTGAAAATTACTCGGCATCCTATTGGTAATATTATTAAATTATTTTGGTGTTAATATATTATTTGAGGAGGATCCTTCAATATATATATGGTCTTAACTTAAATCTAAAGCCATAATATGATTTATTAATATTAATAAGTCACATAACATGACAGTAATGAAGTTATTACATTTTGCAAATTTTTGTTTAACGTGTGTTTTGTTTGATTATTAATTTAAATACAACTTTTTTGTATTTTATTAAAATGCAATTTTGTCAATTTTTTATTTCAATGAAATGTTTAAATGTTTTTCATTATTTTTGTATAATTATAACGATATTTAACTTTTATATTATAAAACACAAATGAAGTAAACGTATCAGCGAATACAAATGTATGATAAACTAGTCAAAATATTTACACATATTTTGATATTTCTATAGCTCGACAATCCCTCTTTTTGAGTTACGAAATTTGTCTCGTAATAAACAATATTATCAATTATCGTCAGTCTAATCAGTTATGTTTAAAATAGTTATGTACTGATACCACTGTAACTTGTAATCGATGTAATTCAGTTACACTTTGACGTTTTCGCTTCTATTTTGTACGTTTAAATTCCAAAAATCGAGCCATTTAATTCAGTTATTTTTAGAAAAAACCATGTGTGTAAATTTGGAGGTAATTTTTTTTCTGCCGATGGATATGATCTTTTTTTGTAAGATATTTTGACGTGCAAGTATGTTCAGATATTATATAATATATTATTGTGCCGGAATAACTCAAAACCGATAAACATTTTTAGAGCAGTGAATATAGGAAATAAACCGATATCATAGTAATTACTAGTTGCAAGTTAAACCATCAATAATTATAGCAACGTTTTAAAGTCAAATTTTTCATTAATTGATCAATGTGAAGCGTTGATTTCATGAAATATTCCAATACTTGTAGTATGTGAAATAGCTACATATCAGATCGTTTTTTGAGAAGTACCCAGTAAATCTGTTTCCAAAAATTATAGCACAATTACAATATTTATTTTTCGTTAATTATTTCACAAATGACATATGACATTTCACATAAATATGACAAAAAAAAAAAAAAACTGCAGATCGTTTGGCGGTTTGCAGTGTGCAGCACTAGTCACAGGTTATTTACTCAGCATACACCTTTCGTCAAGTACCGTTTCCCTCTCTTCTTCTTCTACAATATACGAACGAACTGAAATATAACTCCGTTTGATTACACTGAGTCTTCAACGCCATCGTTTTAGCCTCTTTCTCTCTTTCCCTTGGAAGGCCCGGGGCAAAAGTGTTTTGGCCACAGTCGTTGCTATGACTACTGTACACTGTTGTATATACAACGCTCATACAACCCGGCACGGGAAGTACCCCCCCCCTCCCCTCAACATATAATGTCCTTGATAAAAATCCACCCCTCCGAAAACCTCTCTCACATCTCCATCGACGCGACCTTGGTAGAAATCTGACCTTGACTGTGTTCATGGAGTGTGTTCGCTCGACCAAGTTTGTTTTTATTTGTTTGTTTGTTCGTTTTTTTTTGTTTCGTTAAGTATGTATCCTAACCGATTCAGACGCTCCGAGTTTTACTGTCGAAACGATCGTTCGTTTTGGAACATTGGATTTAATATGTCTCGTCTAATATTTAAACGAATCACGTCGGAATGCTTATGATAACGTTTACTTCGTATTATTTGAATTAATTAAATATTAATTAAAATATTGTTCGAGTGACATTTACGAGACCGTCACCAGTAAAAATTCGAACCTGCCATTTTACTGCAAACGACGGTGTCATAACATTTTATTTTTAACTGCCTCGTTTTTGTTTGGGGTACCGACAAATAATAGTGAGATCTATTAATGTTTTTACGCATCTCGGAGATATGATATTTTTATGGATGCTGCATAAAATATCTCCTCATAAATATGAATTAATTTTGAGGTTGAAAATAAGTAATAGTTTGCTAAAATGTAATAGTTCAACATATGCAAATTTACAAACCTTATTCCATATAGGTCGGTAAATATAAACTTTTCAAAGACACTACATTTACATATCATGGGTGTGGACATTTTAACGGCAGTGTGTTATAATAATTATGCACTACAAGCGTAAAGTAATATTATATGACTATAAATTAGTTGATTGAGCGTCGCTACACATTCTATGTAAATTGCAACTGAATATTTTTCCACCGTACAATGGGTATGTCAATTTGGGTATTACAATTTTGGGAGCAGTGACAATAGTGAGTAATAAATGTAATTTATATATAAATTAGCATAAAATGAGCCATATTATTTTAATATGATTTTTAAATACATTTTTAAAAGTAAAATAAATGTTGGATTATATGTATTATGTAATTGGATGTCCAAGACTTTACAAACAAGTTCTCAGTTTATAATATTGTTAGATCTATTTCATTTGTTAACTCATGTGAATTTTATTTTGAAACCAGATGTACGCTGTGAAGTAAAATAATTAAAACAATATAGATTAAACTTATGAGTTATATAAACCAAAAACTCAAACATTTGGCTCTATTGCAATAAGAAAATATAAAAGAAAACCACCTTTTGCAGGAGAGATGTTTGTTTCTTTAATTCAATTATGGTTTATACTATTATAAAGTACACACTTCTTGGACAGTTTGACCAGGTTCTAGGTTTCACCGACATAGTTATTTATATGCAAACATTAATACCGCTTACAGTTGTTATGGTCAATAACTTTTCGTCGTATATTATTTGGAAAGGGAAACCTCTATAAACCCCTATAAATCCAAATTATTTAATTACATCGTTTCTATAGGGCTATTATAATTTTGTAGTGAAATA